CACCTTTAATAATTTATTTTTTAACTAGTTTTAATATGTCAATGTGTGTATTAGTCCTTGGGCCACCACAGGTAAGCCCCCAGTGGGTGAGCCGGCCGGGTAGGAGTTGGCCTATATCAGTCCTTGGATATCCATTTGGCTTCTGTCTGTTTATGAGTGTTCTTAACTGATATTGTATTCTATGTTTTTATTGTTGTAGCACTTTGTGCTCTCGAGCTGGAAAGTGCGGTACAAATAAAGATTATTATTATTATTATTATTATTATTATTATTAAAATACTGCCCAGTTCCAGTTGAATGCAAGTGCAGTGGTAGAAAAGAATTCTAAAGGGAGTAAGGGAGAAATAAATGATGCTGGTTTTATTTATTGATTTGATTGATTGTCTGCTACTCCTTTAAAAAATGTAAACATGTACAGATACTGTTTTGAACTTATGGTTGGTGGAGGTTGTACATGGACCTCACATTTTAGGGCTATGAACTGGCTTCCACCTTCTTTTTTGTTCCAAAGCTGGATGCTCATCGCTTGGTATGTATCTGATTGCCTTGCCAGGTACAATGCTAATTACCTTGAGGGGAATAACTTGCGTTTGCTATTTAAAAGGCAGCTATACTACATGATTGTGACAATGAAGACCAGATCAAGATAATAAACACCAGTATGATGGAAACTCTACATGTATTATTTCAACTTATTTCAACTATTCTTTCTCTAACTACAGTTTTGTTTGCCAGTATTTATAAAAATAGAGATTAATGTATTCTCCTTGAAGTCAAAATGGTGCCTTGCTCTTGTTTTCTTCCACTACATATTCAGTTAAATATCACTTGGAACTTAGTATTTTTTTTTCCAGTGATAAAATGAAATTACTCCCTTAAGTTGCAGGCTGTATAACAAAGTGTTACAAAGTAATATGATTAAAAGTCAATCTTGAACATATGACAAATAATGGTTTCTGATACTTACTGTGTTACAAAGAAGAGCCAATTAGTGATTTACCTCAAGTCCACAGAATCTTGTAGTTTATCTTAGTTAAAATTCAATGCGTCTCTCAGGTCAAAAGAGTGAAAATTCTGTGCCTGTCATATGCAGTGGGAATGAGAAGTGTTCATCTTGTGGTGTGGGTCAACACCTTTCCTCTTTTCAGTGGTTTGACTGAGGAAGTGGGAGTAGCTTACAGGGTGCTGTACACAGTACTATATCCTAACTGTGAAATTAACCATTTATTCAAGCTTCTCAGTATTCACCAATACTGTGTATGAAATTCAGGAAAAATTTAAAGTTTGCAATGTGGAAGATTTATATTTAACTATCAACTGTACCACTATCAACTGTACCACTTGTACCACCAACTGTAGCACTTCAAAACATTTCTGTTAGACAGTGCTGTTGTGTTTAAACACATTAATGCATAGGCAAAAAAAGACAGAAGAAAAATGTCCTAGATGTCAATGTGAATCACCTTTATGAAAATTAGAAAGCTGAACTCTTTGCCTTCTTTTTTTTGTGTGTGTCATACAGGAGCTGTGCTCACATCCTCTGAAAAGTCTACAAATCAAGATGAGAGCATGTCCTCCAACAACAACACTTCCTCTTCTCAGCTTCCTTCAACCAGAGAAAATATGGACTGTTGAGACATTTTACTGCTCAAATTCATTCAGAGGTAAGGCAGAGTCGTGTTGTATTAGCAAACAGTCATAGAGGGACATTATGTGTGAGTCTGAGTAATTTCACTGATAGTGATTTGTTTCTGTGTAATGCTAAAGGCAGGTTTATAGTAGCACAGTTGCTCCAAATACAGTATGCATCCTATGCATTAGTGGAGAGTAATTACATAAATAATGTACTTAAGCACAATTCGAGTTACCTGTGCTTTGAGTATTTTGATTTTCAGCTTCTTTATTCCTCTACTACTGTACATTTCAGAGGAAAAACTGAACTTTCTATTCACTAAATACAGTCTATTTCCTGGTATTTGTTTTGAAGATTGATATTTTAGTTTTTTTTTATTTTTTATTTTGAAGTAGTTGGGCTACTTAGGCGAAACCATTGACTGTATATAAAAGATGGAATGATCCTCTGCGACATCACCCATTGGTTTTCTGAGAAGAGGTTTTGAAGCTCAAGTTTGGCCTAGCATTGACTAGACGACTAGCCACCTGTGGCAGGAACCTCTGGCCTGTCACTCAAAATAGCCACACCCTTAATTAATGATTAACTTTTAGTCTCAATATAATTTGAAGTGGTGAGTTATATAAAAGTTCAACCTCAGAGTTTGCCGCCTGGGCTAAACTACTGTGATTGTGTTCATCACAACCCTCTATAACAACTTTTCGCACTTTTGTCAATGATATAACCAGCTAACAGCATGTTAATAGATTACAACCAGTTAACACCATGGCAGACTAGCCAGCACGCAGAATAACCATGGATAAGTTTGCATATTACTTCTCTGTATTATTTGTATGTATTTCAAAATAGTAATTACATCACTGAAAGAACATTCTCTTTATGGCTGATTTATGTCAGAGCAGTGACTCAACCTTAAAAAAAATCACTATTGGTGTTTGGGACATTACACTATTACACAGTCAGTGAACTGGTTTAACCTTTAGGTGATATAAATGAAACCAAACAAAACATTTGTCTTTAACCACTAGTGTCTGTGTTTGAATTTTAGATCTTTTTTCACAATTTCCTCTCATCAATTGTTGTGCACTTCACTATGAGTGATTTATTTTAATATATTAATGTATATAGCATCTAATATTTTAATCTAATATTAAACTGTGATGTACAGTAGGGCCATTTTTTGTTCACAGAATAAGACATGCCACCAAATTATAAAAAATGAAGTGTAACATATTAATAGAATTAAACCATCCATGTCTGTTTGAAGTTCCTACCTGGCATTGTCTCATTATGTGTGATAAAATGATCTTTCATAAACAGCTATGTGTTTTTTATTCCCCTTGTCACTTCCTCAGCTACAGTTACTCAGTAATTGTGCCATGATGTCACTGGGTCAGCAATGACTAGTTCTTTATAGGCTGTGAACAACAAATGAATACAAATGAATCACAGAAAATGTAGTTTGCTCCAAACAAAACTATGAATTCTGCTTCAGATGTACTTTGTTTGAATTATAGTCCATCCTTTTTGTGAGCTTTAAGTTCTCAATATGAGTTTTCAGACTAACAAATTAAAACTTCAATATTTACAAGTGCTCAGAATCATTGGTGCCTGAACAGCATCAAAATAATTTAACATGTCAAGCAAAAATAGTTTCAAACATTATGATGTGTTTCAAGCACAGTGTAAAACAAGACGAACAGAGGTCACAAGTTTAAACAAAGTAAAGAGCATGTAAGGTTTATAGTATGCACAGTTTATTAAGAATCCTTGTGTTTGCAGTGATCCTTTTGAGGAAGTAATTACTTTGTTCAATGTATTTCATAGGTTTGCTATAAATAAGTGAAGAAATGTGATGAAATCTTGATTTCTGCATTGTTCTTTCTTCACTTTGTACTTTTTGGTAACCTGTGTTAACCAGCTGCTGTAGCTTTGTGAGGACATAAGAGTGGCACCATCTGAGTGGTAGCTGACCTGAATGAGCTGTCTGCATTTTTAAAAAGACTAAATAGGATCAGGGCACTGTCATGGTTGTGTGAAAAGCACTACGTATTTTGTATTCTTCACTGATTTTACCACACTTGGAGTATGACGTTGAAAACTGGGGAAATACATACAAAAGCTCACTTCAACCATTGTAAATATTACAAAAAAGAGCAATAAGAATTGTGCATAAGAAGGGATACAGGGATCACACCATTGTAGCTTTCATACAGTCTAAATTGTTAAAATTTTTTGATTTAGTGGGACACAAGACTGCTGTGTTTATGTATAAAGCCAGGAACAATTTATTACCTGGTGGAATTCAAAAACTATTTAATGAAAGGGAAGGGGGATACAATTTAAGGGGTCAGTTAAATTATAAAATTCATGCTATACGTCCAACCAAAAAAAGATTTTGTATTTCCATAAGTGGGGTAAAACTATGGAATAATTTAAATGTGGACATAAAAAATAGTACTAGAATTGATGAGTTTAAACATAAGTATAAAGGTATGTG